AGGGGGGGGGGGCAGAGAAAGGACCAGACAGTTTATACGCAGCCCACAAAAGGAACCTGATACGCGACGCAGACGCCGCCGCGAGTCTGTGCCGCGGAGCCTAATGAACGGCGGTATGGCCATGGTTGTACGTAGCCGATTCGGGGACAGCCACGGCTCACTCGCTCACCGCGCCACAGACTGGGTCCCTCCTCTCCTTCGGCGCGAACCGTTCGGCCGGGGACTTCATGACACCTGCCACACCGCCTCCCCTGGCCGCCTTCATTCACGGCATATGCCTCCGGACAGGCGCACGGCCGCGTTGGCTCAGTCGTTGTTATGGGGCGCGCAAAGTATAATGAAAGTTTAGGTTACTGGGGACCCGGGTTGCAAGGGAATTATTGGGCAACGAAGAAAGCGGGCAAGCAGAGCCACTGTGAAAAATAAACTTGTAAATTTACGACATGTTTCGTACGCAATATTTACAACAGAAGGACTTGAAAGTTTAAAACACCCCATTCTAGCTCCTATGAATTCCAAAGTCGATACATAGTGCTTGTGATTTGTTTACAATTTCAGACTGTAATTTTGCAACACGCTCCATAGAAAATTCTCCCGAAAAACCTACGACTTTTTTTAACAGTGCAGTATGGATATTGAGTCAAATAGAATCAAGTCATGTTGTGTTAGCTTTCGTGTTGCCCAGGATGAGTCTGGTTCAACTTCAACCTTAACCCTGCTAGCCTGCAGACTTGCGCCGCTCGCCCTACACGATCGACCGGTTCTGCTCTGCTACTGATCTGCCAAAGGTAAATGAGAAGGTGCAGCCGAAAAGAAATGAAAAGAAGAGACAAAGTGATCTCTTTAAATGCCCTGTTTACTGCCGCGTACTGCTTTGCGATGCCCGTCTGATTAAAACATTACAAATATACCCTGCGTCGGTCGGACTGCTGCTTCCCTAACTGGCGGAGAGCAGCAAATAAAAGGAAGACGGCCAGTTTCACGCAGCGCGCCTCTGGGCCTAAAATATGGGTCACTGGGTTCAAAATCTTGGCAGCGCAAGAGGGATGCGGCCTCGGATGCGGCCGTGGCAGGCGTTAGGTAGGCTGCAGGTGAGCCCCGCCCCACCTCGCCCTTGGTCCCCAGACTCGCTAGCTCACTTACTACTTAGCAAAGCGGCGGTGGCGAGGCCTTGTCCAGGCCTTGTCCAGGAACGCGGGTCGGGAAACTGGACTAGACGACTACAAGGTGCAAGGTGCAGGTGAGATTAGCATACACTGTCGGGAACCTGGACCTCCATCTTTTATTTCATTTTTGAAACTACGGCCGTAAGGTTTACAAATACTGGACTTGTTTTGTAAGTGGTTCATACATCCCATACATTTTAAGACAAATTGTATGCTTATCATCGAGGGATAATCTTGTTTCAGAAGGTTCAAAACAGAAAAATGAATCAGTCAGCAGCGGTTAGTTACATTTATTCACTGACGAAAACGACAAAATAACTAGAAAACGAGATAGCCAGCCCACTGCAAAATGCTTGGAAAAGGTTCGTACTGCAAAATATTCTCCTCGCAACCTTGCGTAGAATTGTGAAGAATTGTAATACGAACTAGTTCTTCGGAAGTTTGCTAACTATTTCTTTACAATGAAAGCACCAAACACGCATACTTTCTAAGGACAGTTTAGCTTGCACAGAATTTCTTTACAATGCAAACTAATTCTTTGCAATACACAGAAAATTCTTTGCAAGCTGGAAAGAAAATCGTTTGCACTACGAACCTTTGCAGGCATTTCGATTTTAAAGTATACTAAATAACTGCCCACATCATTCAGTCGCACTCGCTTCTGGCTGGAAACATGCGAATAATAATGCATAGCAGGTACGGACCGTCATCAGGCGGGAGGCACAGCGCCTTGCGCACACCGGTACGCGGTCCCGCAAACAACGAGGCACAATCTGACACCGGCCGGTAAAACATAGCAGCAGCGCTGCGCCGGCTGGTTAGCAGGCCCCGGCCAGCCGCAGGCCCGGGCCGGCCCCGGCCCCGGGCGGGGCTAGCGGCCGGCAGAGCGGCACAGGGACATTCTTTCTGGACGCGGTACAATCGTACCGTTTTACGTTTCACTCACTCTCATTTATCTCTACCCCTCGTTCCTCCCTCCCTCCCTCCCTCCCTCTATCTCTCTCTCTCGCGGGGGCGGCAAGGGCAAGGGGGAGCAGATATAAAGGGTCCAGCCAGCCTCCTATACAGGCTCCGGCCAGGCCAGAGTCGCCGTTATAGCAAGTGTTGCTGCGAGTCCACTCCACTCTAGCGGCCGCGCGGCAGGCCGGGGAGCCGCACTATCAAAGAGTCGTCTAGGGGCGTGGCGGGGCGTGGCGGAGCGTGGCGGAGCGTGGCGGAGCGTGGCGGAGCGTGGCGGGGCGGGGCGTGCGTTGGAACGCGTGTCGTGTGGCACGCCGATTAGCTCCGGCGAGTGCGTCGCGCGCAGCGGACGCACATGTCAAAATCAAATGGCTGTTGGCTCCGATTGGGGAGTTTGTTGCGCCGTTCAATCTTTTCTGCTGTAAAGGGGGGTGGCCGATACGGCATGGCTCAAGCTCCTGCAGCGAATCGAATGGGCGGTCGGGGAAGCCGATCTGGTCGTCAGCCGCACTCTTGTGCAGGGACATGAAACAAGTATACACAAATATATTAAGCGAGTGAGTGTGCGTGTGTTCCCACCCCCACCGCAAGTCGGCTATCCGCATTCCTCGCGGCTGGCCAACACTCATACGGCCAACGTAATCACAAGTGAGCGAATCAACGTGCATTTCGCACAACGTAAATATAATCCTCTCTAATTTATGGGTCTGGGCTCCCCGCGCCGCCGCCGGCCTCCCGCGCCGACCGCTCCTAGCGCACATAGAGGATCGTGCCTGAGTGTGCGTTGGGCGGTGTACGGTTGTACATACACACACAAATCAAGAAAATATGAGACAATTTGTGCGGAAAGACGTCGTTTGTATTACGCATAGCAACAGTTCATGAAGTTGGGGCAGGTATCAGGCATCACTGCAGATAAATGCGGTACAATATATGTTTACAGTAATTTGTAAAAATAAATGCGTACGTCAGTTTTCTTCCTGTGAAATTTTGAGCGAATTTTGGGCTGCAGAGCACTACTGTCGAGCAGATCGGATGGCAAAGCACGATCATAGCTCGCTCACCCCATTTTGGATCATCGGGCTTTATTCTTGCCCGGCTTTCTCTGCGTCCTACAAAAGCAAAACTATTTATTGTTCCAGCGCCGTCCGCTCACTTGGCTCGGCCGGCCGGGCCGTCGGATGAAATGCCGCTCGGAGGGATATTCGTCTCTCTGTTTGCTGATGCATTCCCCGCCGGCCGCTCTCAAGCCTATAGCCCCGCAGCCGTCACGGACTAGGGCGTTGTCCACTAGATAGATAGATAGATAGATAGATAGATAGATAGATAGATAGATAGATAGATAGATAGATAGATAGATAGATAGATATATCATTTACAATTTTAGAGTGCTACTTTCAATTGATGATTTGTTTGAGTTCTTTATAATCTTAACTTGTCTTGTTATTGTGATTACGTACTTTGAACTGTTTCCTTCATTATTTTACGCGGTTTGTCGAGACTAAAACAAGCGGTATACCCTCGCGGGCACACAGCGGTGCGAAACAAGTGACATCGTCCGGCCTCACCCCCTCTCCACCTCTCCCAGCCTCCGCGCGCTCTATGTCTCTCACTCTGCGAGAGAGAAAGGCGCTTCTTCTTTCCCTTCTTGCTGTCCTGTCGGCATGGCATGGGACGAGGCGAACAGCAGGAGGGAAGAGGGGCAGGGGAGGGGGGGGGGGATGAAGAGGCCTCGCCTGCTTTCTGTTTGTTTTAAAATATTGGCCGAGCGATGCCGCCGCCGCGCCGCCTCTGTCCGCAGCCTGCTGTCCGGCCGGGACCCCGTCGGATAGAGAGGATAGGAAGAGGGATTGACGGGGAGTTGTAACGCGTGGCGCCGCGCCTCAGACGTGCCGTGTGGCGGCGCGGGGCCGCGGATAGGGGCTGACGGCTGACATGACACTTGCCGATAAAAGGTCATCTCCAGTAGAAGTAGGGAAACAAAATGAAAATGCTCGGTGAAAATTTGCATTTTCTTACACATACCCAAGCCAATAAAAACTTTGATGTAAAAAAATATATTTAGTTGATGACCGCAGGTTAGGTAGGCGAAGGTTTTATCCAGGCCAACCCGGCATTGAAATGGATTGTAAAATTACAATTCGAAATTATTGTAATATTACATGCACTAATCAGTATCAACTCTTGGAATTTATTGACGACCGGCCACCCGCCGCGTTCCTGTGTTTGTTTGAGTGTGTGTTTGAGTGTGTGTGTGTGCGTGTGTCACTGCGCCCACTAGTTTCGGACTCTAATGGACCCCACACGTCAATTTCGCGGCCACTAAACGCCGCACGACGGCCGCGGTTTCCAAAAATCTCCTTTTAAAACGCAGCGCGCCGCGGTTTCCGAGTTCCTGCGCGGCGGGTGGCCGTGCTGGGATTAATCTCTGTCGTTAATCAAAGGCCCCTAATTTGGTGCCGACTTTATGAACGCCATGAAACTAGTGTGGG